TTTATATAACATTTTTTTCCCAAGATTATTACACGAAATTATACTTTATCGTAAAATTCAATTCAATTCAATTGTTTATATGTATAATTAAGCGAATTAACTTTGTCATAAAATTAAATTTTATTATATGTGTATCTAGATATGATTTATATAAGAATAATATCTAAATATTCTTGCGGAGATTCGACATAAAGTAAAGAAAGCTTTCTTCGCTGTAAAAATGATTATATAATTTACATTATACAATTTATATAATATTAAAAATTTTTATATAGACAATTAATGTGCGACTAACAAATAATTATGAATATCTCATTTTGCAGTTTAGATACTTTACTGAAGCTATATTTAACGTACATGCGCGAGAAACCAGCGCACGATTCGCTCCAAATCACACATATCTCCTATTTCTTCTTTGGATGCCCTCGGATTTGGGTGTTTTTGCCACTTCAGTCATCGTGTCTTGGATCGACTTGGCACGTTTATATCTTGTGTTTAGTAATATTTTCATCTACGTTAATCTTATCATCATCAGTGAAGGAGACAAGGCTAAATAAGAGAAAAAGGAGCTCGAAAAGAAGATTTCTCTTTTGGGACTTGGGACGCATTGATGCAGTGGATGCGCGTGTTCCAAGTAGCTCCAATGTTTCCACATGTTTCTTAAATCTTCGAAACTCTTCGAGAGATACGTACTCGCGTAACACGTGTGTCCGCGCGAATTTGTGTCGTGCGATAAAAAAAAAGATCAGCGATTTGTTAAACATGAGTCATACGAAGTTCGATATTTTCGTGGGTACAACATCTGGCATCGTTAAAGGTAATCCCGTAGGTTAATTCTGCGAAATATTTGTAGGTTATGTATAACATGCCGCCTATTTATATTTAATTCACATGTGGAAAATACAAATTGCAGGATTGAAGATCGGACGAGTAAAGAAGGAAAATAAAATAAAAAATTTGCAGAATGTATCCCTTATTACAGAAACTGATAAAGTGACTAGGATGGCATGGGGCAACAATGAACAAGAGATTTTAGTCGCATGCAGCGGTTACAAAGATAACAAGTAAAACAATCATTTTTACAGCAAAGAGAGTTTCCTTTACTTTTACATTTTCATGGGAATAGATTGGAATGATTTTATATAATAAAATCTAATTTTACGAAAAAATTAATATCATTTTTGCAATATATATCATTTAATTATATAAATAATTGCATTTAATATAATTTCACAATAATATATTAATGTATGTAATTTTACGATTTTAAAATATTTTATATGATAAAAAATGATTTTAAATAATAAATGATTGTAATTTGATATATGGTAATATAATTGCATGATCAATTTTTTACAGAGTAAAAATCTTTGATACAGAGAGTGCAGTACTCAAAGATTGGTTTTCTTGTAACATAGGCACAGATGCTATCAGTGGAATATCACAATATGGCAGGGAAAATTATCTCGGCGTCAAACAGCACATTCCACATGTTAGCCCATACCAATATTGCCTAGAACCTTCTATAAGTAGGGTTGTAAGTGATTGTGCTTGTAAGAATTGACCAATCACAGTCAAATATTCTTTTTACCAATCACAGTCAAATATTTTGTTTACATTCAACTGTGATTAGTTACTTACTTTTACTTCTTACAAGCTTACTCTGCATATTGTAGACAACACAATATATGGAGTCACTCAAGTAGTATTTCCAAATATAATCCTAATAAAACAAATCCTAATAAACTGTGGCTGATATTCATAATCCATTCTTATTTTCAAACTGTCATAAGTAATGTCTCAAGATGCTAATACGGCTTTGTGACTGTTTATGACGTCTCAAAAATTGTACTTAAGACGATCTTAAATATAACGGGCTTTCTACACATAAGCTATTAG